AATGAAGCCAGTTGAACTATTGTTTCGGGGGCAGTGAAGCCAGGTGAATAAGTATAAGCTTGTACAGACATGCTGCACTTTTATTGTCGCGAGCAGAACTAGGAGTTCGTCTTCGCTTTGGAATTAGACAAATACACAATGTTCAGTTTTTCCATCCAGCCCAACAGCGAAGTAACGTGCAACGTAATCTCTGACGAGTGTTTCCCTATACAAAGGAGGATTCTCCTCGGACAGCAGCTCTTTGATGGGACCTTACAACCTTGTGCAAGCAGGATGGAAGAAAGTGTTGAAGAAGCCCACAACGGAAACTCTTGGTTCGCCATTCTTCGCTACCATTCTGTGCTCCACGCTGCTGAACTTGCCATTGGAGACCAATTGAACATGTCAATGGACAAAAGAATTTCAGTACCAAACTCTCAACTGTATGTATAAAAAACAAGCTTCTTTATATACAGTCTTATTAGCGTACCTGCAGGAGATCACCGATGTTGACGACGAATGCTCCATGCGGCAGGTAGAGCGTGTCGCGCCAGTTCACTACTACACAAACTTTACCGGAGACGGACGTTTTCGGTTTTCCACGACGGGCAAAGCTGTCCGCCGCGACCTAGAGGCCACGGTAAATCGTGGCTTAACCACGGCGGCGGATTTGCCCGTCGCGGTTAACCGATTTACCGCGGCGGGTGGTGTAACGTGCCCGCTACGGTAAATATACTTTTACCACGGCAGGCACATTACACCGCCCGCCGCGGTAAATTATTTTACTGCGGCAGACACCTTTTGTGGCCCGCCGCGGTTATGTTCATTAGCCGTGGCGGGCTTTATTATTTGTCCACCTCGATAAATTATTTCCTGAATTAAAAAAAAATACAGCAGGCATATAAATTCAAATTCAAATCACATCCAGATTTCACAAATTAAACTTAAAAAGTATGCAGGCATTACACATGAGATAATATACATATATATACATTCACTTAGTCGTTCTTGTCATCGTTAATTCATTACATTTATATATTAAAGTCATTATACATGCGCTAAGGTGTAATCCTGCGGACGCATCATCGTGGGCCATTTTCTCAGCCTCTCGTACCCCGGTAAAATCGCTAGCGGGCTGTTCTCATTGAAGAACGTGCCCCCTTCAAGCACACATTTGTCTAAGACAAACTTACATATGTCCGTCTTTGTTTGCTTCAAGCTGTGTTGGGTGCTCTGCACGTCTCTCGACCAGTTCAATCCATTCTTGAGCACCCTCCAACTGCTGCTGTACTGCTTGCACACTCTCAGAAACTCACAGGCGTAGAAGCCACAGGTTTGTGATCCTACCGGTTGTTTGCCACACTGCATGATCGATACACAAGCATTACAACACAGGCATTAGAATGCATATGAACGGAAAGCACAATTAAACCTTTCAAATACTTACCGGAAAGTTGCGTCTGATTTTGATGCGGTTCTTATGCTTAGCCTTAAAATTCTCTGTTTTTCGATCATAGCATTCAGGATCCTTCACGTACTCCTTATAAGCGCTATACGAAATGTACTAGTATTAGGCAGGGCATTAGAACGCATATGAGAAGGCGGTTCAGTCACTTACACTCTGAGGCAATCTTCAAAGGCCTTGTACCCTTTTAAGTTTGGCACTGTCAACGAATCAAATACGCAGGCCCTATCATCCTGAGGGTAGATGATAAATGCAACCCAGTGACCCTCGAGGCCTTGGCTACGCCATTGAAACAAAATACATGTTACGACGAGAAATAATAATACTAGCTAGCTACCCACTTATCTCTACAGGCATGTCTTCGACTTACCCAAAGTGGTAGGCAGCTAGGATACACCCATTTCCCCTGATCTTCTTCATTGCTCCTAGTATGTACCTTGAAATGTTCAACTTCTCATTGTCCATTAGTTTCTTCCTGTGCGCCTCTCTCTATCGCAGTCGTGTGAGTTGTAGCCGGTCATTATGAGGTCTTTCATGGAGACCAGGCTCTTGACATTGGAAGAGAAACCAGTCGGCACCTTGATACCCGTAAGCAACTTAAGAAAAGCCATCTTCTCGTCTTGCGTTAGGTTGCAGGCCGCACCCGGGATATCGACTTTACCGTTCTGAGGCGGTCCCGAGTGAAGGTCCGGCCTGATGCCCAGATTGACAAGATCCGTCCGTGACTTGATACCATCCTTTGTCTTGCCCTTGATGTCCAGCAGGACACCGATCGTGCTTTCGAAGACATTTTTCTCTAGGTGCATGCAGTCAATGGCATGGGGTGTATTCAGTGTTTTCCAATACGTGTGTACTTGAAAAAAATTGACTTCTTCTTGAAAAAGGGTGGCGGGGACTTCCTCCGTCTGGTCGCTTTCGCTTCCTTATGCGCTTGGGCCCCTCTTCAGTGGCTTCTTCTTCTTCTTTCCAAACTCCACCGATCCATGTCCTTGACCATCTCATACACCTTTGTCCCCAACTAGTCTGCGTTAGTTGATCACGCGCTGCTGCTCTCGTCCGATTGTCAAAGTATTTGTTCATAATACTTCTTCTATACCTGTGATTTTTGGCGAGGAACCGTCTGTGCCTCATGTACACCATCTTATTGGATCCCTTAAGGTAAGTGTAGCAGGTCCCGTCGATGCAAATTACGCAGCCGGTCTTCCCTTTTATCTGCCCCGACAGTGAGAAGAGACCGGGGTAATCGGTGATGGTGACAAAGATGATTGCTTTTAGTGTGAACTTCTCCTTGCGGGATGCATCCACCATATGGACCCCAACATCAAATAGTATCTTCATTTCCTCCATGAACGGCTCTAGGAACACATCTATATCATTGCCGGGCTGCTTCGATCCGGAGATAAGCATGGTCAGCATAAGGTACCTACGCTTCTGACATAGATGGGGAGGTAGGTTGTACATGGTGAGCACGATGGGCCAAGTGTTGTGCGAGCTGCTAAGCTCACCGAATGGGTTCATCCCGTCGGTACTCAGCGTGAACCTAACATGCCTAGGCTCCTTGCCAAACTCTAGGTAGGCCTCGTCGAAATCCTTCCACTGCTTGCCATCGGATGGGTACTGTAGCTTGCCATCGTCTTTCAGGCGGTCAGCTGATGCATGCCAGGACATGAGCTTGACATCGTCCGGGTTCCCGAATATTGCATGCAGGCGATCGGTCACGGGCAGGTACCACACCAAGCGGTGCTAGACTTTTTCTGCGTGTAACCCTCTTCTTCATCGTCCCCTTTGAGCCGAGATCTGTTTGGCCACACCTGCTCTTCTTTGCCCCCTTCTTGTTCTTCTTCCGACCACCCCCATAAGCCTCCCTCTTCTTACGCATCCACGCGACAACCAGCATTTTTCTTGTACCGACTAAAGCCGCATAGCATGCGGACAACTCATCAAATTCTCATACTCATTGCCCCGATCTGGGATGCGATTGGTTAGGGCATGCATCAAACTTTCTAAGCTTCATCGCCATCGGCGGATCAGCTTCTTGGCCCAATAAGTATTGGCGGGCACCTTGTTAGCGTTTAGTGCGTGGTGGCAAGGTAGCTTAACAACTCATTGAAGCTAGTGTCGGACCAACCATGACGAGCCTTCAACATCAACATATGGAGGTTAAAGCGGAGCGCCGTGCACTCCTTCGGACAATCGCCCGTCCTTATAGAGAGGATCAATTGCCGCCTGCTTCAACTCTCTAAAATTCTCCAACCACTTTGGGCAACCCAACACAACGTCGTCTTCATCGAAGTGTTTGACTAGATCTTCAACAAGCTGCACATCCTTGGGTTGGCTCACAGTATCCTGACCATCCCCACCATCGCCGGCTTCGTCGGCCATGTCTTGCATTAGATCATCCACCGTGATGTAATCACGACAAGCTGTTATCCTTTGTCATTGGCGTAGGCTTGCTGCTTTGAAGATGATGAGGAGCCGGGTGCTCCTAAAGGATCTTTATTCACCGGTGGTGCTGTCGTCGTCGGCGTCGAAGAGCTCACTCTAGATGCACCGCCACTCGCACCAACTCTTTCACCGTGAAATGTCTAGACTGTGTAGCCCTCGATGAAACCATACATGATCAAATGAGTTTGCACCTCGTTGTCTCGGTGGGTTTCAGGTTCTTGCAATGAGAACATGGAAATATGGTTGTCATCCGCTTCAGTCTCTCACGGTGAGCTTTACTAGTAGCAATAAACTTCCTTAATTCAAAGAGGTACCACGGATCATTCACTCTATCAATCCGGTACATCCATTCCGACCTATCCATCATACCTACGAACATTATCCGTCACAATCAACATTAAATAAAGAAGAATTAGGAGAAATTGATGATTTTTACATCCAAAATCATGAAAAAGAGAGGAAATGACGATGTGAAAGATGAAGCATGCATCTATGATGAATCTAAAGTTAAAGAAATACATGACATCATTTTTCCATTAAAATTGATCTAGATCTAGATCTAGATCTAGATCTAGAGAGAACTCTAGGTGATGGAAATAGATAGAGAGGATGGAAGGAGAGAGGGAGAGCCTTTATGAACCTCTTATGATGTCCTCCTCCCTCAAATCCAAGCCCTTCAACTCAAATCAAAAGTTTCCTCAAATTTTAGGGCAAAGCCTCCCCCCATGAGTTTGAGAGAGGAAGACCCGTGGAGAAGATGAAGGGGTGGTGCTGTGTATTTGTACAGACTTTACCGCGGCGGGCAAGATAAAGCGCCCGGCTCGGTAAATCAACTCTTTACCGCGGTGGGCAGTTTAAAGAGCCCACCATGCTAAATCGTATTAACCGCGGCGGGCGATTCATACCGCCCGCCGTGGTAAATAACGATTTCCTGCGGCAGACAAGTAAGGTGGCCCGCCACGGTAAACCCTTTTCCCGCAGCGGGCGCCTCGGTGGCCGGCCTCGCTGGCTGGCCATCGGTTAACCGTGGCGGGCAAAAGAGGTGCCCGCCACGGAGCCCATTTTGGCCACGCTGCGCAAATTGATTCCTGTAGTAGTGGTTGGCCACGGGCTACTGGAACAGGTCGAAGTTGTAGTAGTACTTGACCACCTTCCCGGGCTCCCGAGAGTAGAGCCGTGCCTTGTCGCTGCCGTCCCCGCCGTCGGCTTCGTGGAATGCCCGCACCGCCGCTACCGCCGCGCGCATCGCCTCGTTGGGCACACCATGACCTGTCACGTGGAAGAAACCCCACTCCGCCGTGCCCCGGCGGACGGCGTCCACCACGGCCGCACGGTCGCCGCCTCCGAGGTCGATCACCAGAACGGTCGCCGCGGATGAGCTTTCTTGACCGTGGAGGGGGCCCTCTGTGTCGGGGATGTGGCAGATGCGGGGGACGTGCGTCGTGCATCGTGCCAGAATCGATGAGTCCGTGGACACCGGAGAGGGTGGCATACTGGCATTAAGCACGTGGAGCTCGGCGGCACGGTCGTAGGGTGGGGCGGCTGCAGACATGGTAATGTCTTCGTGATTTGCTTCACCGTTGAGGTGCATTTGCCCATTGGTATGCTTGCATTATTTCTCTCGGGCTTATCTGCTTTGCTCTTGGAGATAGATTTTTTTTGACAACTATCATGTGGCACTGGAAAGTAAAAACTGGAAGGTTTTTTTTCGATAATGCTCTGGCCCGAGCGTCCTACGGGCCGAAAATATCAGAAGGACTCCACCATACCGATATTTGCATAACCACACATTCTTTAGTTTATTCTTATCCATCTATTTCTTTAGCTTTCACCAACACCTTCTCCTACTCTGCCTCTTCTTCGCATCCACCTGCCCCACTCTGCCTCGCCGCATGCCCCTTCCCCCATCGTGTCCTGTCCCTAGCCGCGTCATGCACTTCCCCCTACGACGTCCTATCGCCGGCCGCATCGTGCCCATCCCCTATCGCGCCCCACTCCACCTTACACCGTCGCAGTCGTGGCATCACCGGACCACCACCAATCGGCACCACTAGTAGGAGGTCATCGCCGGCTAGGATGTCATCTCCTGTGGCCAGTCGAAGACACCACAGCAGGAAGGGAAGTCCTGCAGCGGAGGTGTACGCTAGGCCGTTGTTCTCAACATCCACCTGACTCGAACTTGCTGGCTATGGAGTTCCCCACTAGTTAGGCCGTGGCTGTCGGCGACGCTGTGTTTCAAGTGTTTCAGCGTTTGAGACTTATATTTCTAAGTGTTTCATCTCACTACTACATAAATCTTAATGGTGGCGGGCGAAATAGGTTAATGGAGGTGGGCATTGCAACTGCCTCCAATCAAAGGTCACGGTTAATCATGACTTTACAGAGGCGGTTGCCCGCCGCGATTAATACTTTAACGGAGGCGGGCACGTTAAGGCAACCGCCTCTGTTAACGTTGATTAATGGAGGCGGTTGCCCTAGTGTGCCCTTCTCTATTAAAGTTTTAACCGAGGCGATTGCTATAATGCGCCCATCTCAGATACAATATTAATAGAGGCGGCTATGTGTTACATGCCCGCCTCCATTAATATTTTCCAATTAAAAAAAGCCTTGGTAATTTGATTTGAATTTAAATTTGAATTCTATTTTCGCAAATCAAACACATATAAAGCAGAATCATCAAGACATATATAAACACAAATTATACATATCGAGCACAAACATATAACACATTCATTGGTGTTGTCCATCATCAACCAACATCATTTAAAGTTATTACACATGCATGATGTCATATGTTTACATGTGAAACTAAGATCACCCCGCTATGCACTTTTCTCGGAAAAGAGGTCCGGCAAGATGTAATCCTTGATTTGTAACTTAGTGCTCCAGTTTCTGATCCTTTCGAACTTCGAATCCTGCGCTAACTCGCTTTCCTCGTTGAAGAACGTTCGCCCTTCATGCGCGCTCTATGTGACAAACTTACATATGTCTGCTACTATTTGTCTGAAGTTTTGGTCGACCTTCTCCTTTTGCCACCATCCTTGTGCTTTCTTGAGCTGCCGCCAGCTGCTGCTGAATCTGGTTTATGTCCTCAGGTGCTCGCAAACGTAGAATCCACATAGAACTGAGCCATAGGGTTGTTTGGCGCAATGCACGATATATAATACGCAATCATTAGAGCATATATAGAGAGTAGTAGTAGGAGGACAATACAGTATAGGAGTAGTAGTAGTAGTAGTAGTAGTAGTAGTAGTAGTAGTAGTAGTAGTGGTGGTGGTGGTGGTGGTGGTGGTGGTGGTGGTGGTGGTATTGGTATAGAGTAGAGTAGAGTAGTAGTAGTAGTAGTAGTAGTAGTAGGAGTAGTAGAAGTAGGAGTAGGAGTAGTAGTATTGGTGTAGGAGTAGAGTAGAGTAGAGTAGTAGTAGTAGTAGTAGTAGTAGTAGTAGGAGTAGTAGGAGGAGGAGTAGTGGGAGTAGGAGTAGTAGTATTGGTATATGATTAGAGTACAATAGAGTAGAGTAGAGTAGAGTAGAGTAGTAGGAGTAGTAGCGACAAGTAGTAGTAGTAGTAGTAGTAGTAGTAGTAGTAGTAGTAGTAGTAGAGAGCATGCTCGATATAATAATAGCACAAACGAATTTTGATATACTTACCGGGAACTCACGCCTGAGTTTTAGTTTTGTGCCATTCTTGATCTTCTTCTTCTCATATCTCCGATCATAGCAGTTAGGATCTTGCACGTACTTCTTATAAGCGTTGTATGAAAAACCACTAGTGTCAACGACAATTTGAACACGTATGTTAACTGTAAATGAATAAGTTTCGTCACTTACTATCCCAATACGCTTTCAAAGTGCTTGTACCCTGCTTTGTTTGTTTCCCACAAAGATTCAAATATACAGGCCCTTCCATCTTGAGGATAGATTATAAATGCAATCCAGTGGCCCATGATGCCATGGCTGCACCATTCACACAATACAGATTTGAAATGTTCAAATACAAGAAGTCATGATCCCAGTAGCTATATATATGTTCCAAGTATCTTTTCAACTTACCCGAACTGGTGGGTGGTCATGACACACCCATTTCCCTAGACCTTCTTCAAGGCTTCGTAGATGTACAATCCTGCCCGATACTTATATTCGATTTCCAGATCTTCCTAGAATTTCTTTCTCTCCTCCGGGTTCAAGTTCACTAGGTCTTCATGAGTGTCTGGTATATCGTAACCTGCGATGGTTCTCTCTGTAATAAGCATCGAAGAGAGATAGATAATATCCTTGCCCAATTCCTTGCTTACATAGGCCTACATCCTGGAAGAAAAAGTCATCATGGCATTATTAGTTTGTTCCTAAAGTACCCACAGCGAAGTAGTGGTGTCAAAGTCGTAATTAACATATAGGGCAAATAAGGTGACTTGGGCGATGTCGAGGTCCTTTCGCCGTAGTAGTCTATACATGTCATGGAAATCTACGATGACTTCACCATCCGTGGGTGTGTGGAAGTACTCTGCCGGAATCTTGATGATGAATGTTTCTAGGCCCGCTTTCACCGCTTCCATGTACCAGAGATGGAACCTCCTTACCTCCCATGGCTCTTCAAGGAGGTCGCCCAAGGTCAACATGAACTTCCCATGTTCGTAGTGATTGGGGCAATCATCCAAGAGGGGCCAAACCGACAGCGGTGTTTTTGGCCTCCAACACGAGGGCTTAAGATGTTAGGGAGTGAAAAAAGCAGCTAGCATCTCCAAATGAATTATAGATCGACTCTGCTTGCTAGTAGCATACCTTTCAAACGTACTTGAGTATGGGTGCTTGTTGGCTATTTGATAGGTTGCCCAACTTGTCTTGGTGTGGTTCGAGGGTATGGCCTCCTCTTCATCTATAGGCTTCCTCGGCGGGGGAGGACATTGGCTTGTGCCCTCCTTCGAACCACTTGCAGGCGGTGTCACATCGCCCAGTGCTGCCCCTATGCCTTCTTGTGGACTGCTATTGCCGGGAGGCTGACTGGCTCGAGGACTGCTGCCTGGGCCAGCATTGTCGTTGTCATCATCGCCACCGTTGTCATCGTCGTCATCACTCGGGTCATCCAGGGGATTCAGCGAGGGCTATGAGCGCGTTGACGCCGGCATCACCTCATCCAACATAATGTCGATCTTATTCTAGAGCACTTCTTCACCGATAAGACTTCTCAAGTACTGGTTCCCATTTGGACAAGGAATGTTGATTTCATCCTCGTCAAACTCCAGGTTCGTCCATGTCACGTCTACCCTGGCATAGTCGGGCGGGATCGGCCTGTTGTTGTCCATGGCTCCACTTTTAGGTGGGATTGCGACTCCCCTGGCCACTTCCTTCTTCCTCTGCGCCCTGCTGAAGGGCACCAAGAGCATGCAGGGTGTTCGTTGCATGATGTCATCGACCGGGTACCTTGGGAGTCCTCCGGTCGATGGTACCATCTGCCCTTGTATAGCGGATTGACCCTGTGGTGGCAGCACGCCAGCCTGGCGTAACATCTGTGACCTCAGCTCCACCATCCTGGGGTCGGTGCTAGTGAAAGCATCTTGTATCGACCCCATGATCATGTCCTTCATTTCCTCATCTTTGCCTTTCTGGATGAGCCCTTCCTTGTGAGCCTGCCTTGTGTGGTACATGCTCACGTCGGATTGCCAGGAATCAACGGTCTTCCAACTCTTCCTTGAGGATACACCACGGACGCGGCCGCAATGCTTAGGATTTCCCAGCGCCTACGTTAATATGTCCCGCTCTCTGCTAGGTTCGAACGGCCCGCTCTTCTCGGCCACAGCAACCACCATAATCCTCTTCTCCACCTCCTCGATCTAGGGCTTGTTGAACTTGGTCTTGCCCTCCTTTAGCTTTTCTAGGACACGGCCTTTGGGGAAGTCTCGTGACCTCTCATCACAGTCTGCGTATGAATCTGGCAGCTCGGCCTCAGCTAAAGCCCTTTCTTCTGCCCACCACTATGGCCTCTTAGCAGCATATCCTGTCATGCCCAGGTGGTGGTGGTGCTGGTTCCTCTTAGCAAGCTTGGAGAACTGCTCGCTCTTGGCCTTTGCTTCTAGGGTTTGTTTTTGTCTGACGAACTCTTCCCAAACTTTAGGCAAGACATAATTGTAACGGGTGAAGGGTGTTTGCTCTATCTACACATACTCCTTGTTGAGCTTATACCTGAAGTTTTGAAGCGCTTTTCCTACCAGGACCATGACATGCGACCTACACTTCTCTTTATCATAGCCCTTTGAATACGTGAACCGCCTCAGCATCTTTTTCCAAACATGTTCCTTGAGATCTTCCGGGACATCCTTCCTATTTTGATACATGATAGGCACCTTCTCCCTGACTAAAATGGAGCACTGGTTGCTGAATTTCCCAAGGACCTGTATTGGCTGCAAGGGCTCTCCCTATGGCCCCACCTGGGCGATCACGTGCACATCACTATGCTTCTTGTGCCTCCCATGTTGGCCCCTTCTCAGCTTTGGCTTGTCACCGACTGTTGTGGTTGAAGAGGTCACCGCGGAGGGAGCGGGTGCTTCTGGGGGTGGGCTTTCTTCTTCCTCCTCCATGTTGAACTACAAATTCC